CTAAGTTACACATGTCTGGTATCCAGTGTGCTTGGACATCTCTTCCTACTCTGCTTGTGCCCTTTGCGTGTTCCTCTGGAGATGCCACATCCTTTGACTCTGTTTAAAGCTGGCTTCCTTTTTTATTAACATGCAACTCTCTCTATATAAACATATATATTCTAGCAGTCTACCAACTGTATTGTTATATAGTGTGTTGGAATATTACATGTTGAAGTCCTATTTATCAAGAACATTTTAGTTTTCCTCTGGTTTAGGTTTTTATGTTGGGATCTCATTTAAGATGACTTTCCACTGGGCATGGTGGTGGATAACTTTAACCCAAATGCTAGGGAGGCTGTAAAGGACTGTGAATTCAAGGAAGCGCAAGGTGTGGTGGTGGTGGTGGTGGTGTGTGGGGTAGGCATCCTTACTTCTGGAACAGTCAGGCTCTCCTGTGCTTTCTTCTACGTGCTTTATGTTTTTTTTCATTCTCTGCCTTCCATCTGGAGTACATCCGTGTAAGTGATGATACCAGGTACCAGAGCAGCTTCATCTTCCTCCTGACAGTGAGGGGGTCTTCTCCCAAAACAATGTCAGACACGAGAACCGAAACCTTCAAATGTCCAAGGCCATGGTGATGCATGCCTCCCCTCTCAGAGATAAAGAGGCAGAGGTGTGAGGATCACTGCAAATTTGGGTCAGCCTTGAGTCATAGTGAGTGACAGGCTAACCTGCCTTAAAAATGTATCATTTTTACATTTATAGAAATAAATTGGGGTAGGATAGAATCTCCTCTGTTTAATCCATAGTTTCCCAAAGAAACACAAGGAGGCCATTGTATTTCACTTGGAAACATGACATTTCAGCTTTTCCAGGTCTCTTTGGGGCTAAGTTGTGCCTTAGCTTGATGCAAATGGTACTATTATGCATGCTCCCCACTTGGCCTTCTATCTTCTAGTGTTTGCCCTCAGGGATCAAAAGAAAGGATAGATTGACCTCCCTTCTGATGTGAGGGCTTATGGGTTGGAATCCTAGAATAAACTCATTTCATGTAAAATTACTTGTCCACTGTTTAGGTTCCTACAAAGTCCATGGGGGCAGTGCTTTCCAATTTGATCATTCACTGAAAAACCTAGCTGGCTATGAAGGAGTTCCCAAGTAGCTCTCAGTTTGCTGGAATGATGAAGTTCTCTATTCTCTACCCCTTTGGTACTTTTCTATGCCTAATGTGTGATACAATAGCTTACATGTACAAAAGGCTCACTATATCTTGGGTAAATAATTGAAGGAAGTCAATACAGTGTTGCTGACCTGCTATGCTAGGTAACTTCAATACACAGGTGGAGAATGGTAGGTTCACATAGTTTTTGTTCCATGAATCATGCGAACTTAGGTTTGAGGCAAAAGAAAGACTCTGCAGTCTCCAACCTTCACACAAACTCACAATGGAACTGCTGGTCTCTGAACTAACATGCTTGGATAGCATGCCACATTAGCCACAGGAAGTAACTTGACCTGGTGGCTTCTGTTTCCATTTTAAGGACAGGAGACGAGAACATTTGTTCAAATGCTGTCCAGTGTCTGCCAGAGGGTGAGTCTCCAGCAAGGAAAACAACACCGTGAATGCCTACCTGGACTCATGAGTGGGAAACACAAGGTTCCAGTGACCAGAGGGGACAGGGGCATTTATGCAAGTTACACAGAGATTGCCACTTTCTGTGTAATGAAAAAATATTTGGCTAGTGGAGTCTTTTTTCTATTTATTAACTCTGTGGTTTTAGAGTCTCATTCTCCTTGGGCTGCCATTTCTTTATATGAAAATGGGGGTGATGGCTACACCTGTTCAGTAGAGGAGACATTGACAATCATTTCTGGAAGAAGTCAAATAGTGGGAACTTTGGAGTTTGTGGCCCTTAAGCTTTCCATTGCTGTGGCTTGTCTCTGCTGCTGTGATCCCAAAACCACTGGAAACACTGCCCTGAGCAGGCAAGCCATGCTCTAAAAACTTTATTCATGTACAGCAGACTCTGGATTTCTACCAATATTTGCATGCCACAAGGCTGTGCTCATTTACATTTTTATTTCAGCTATCGTATAAGCACTCCAAGATAGGAAACCATATCCAGCCATGTTTCAGATTGTATTTGACCCTCGGCCATTGCTTGCCAGTCCCTGTTACAAAGTTTCTTGGAAGCAGAACTGGGCCTGATGATAAGGATGCTATAAGGGTTCACTGCTACTACTTCTCTTCTTATAAATTGTCTGCATGAGAAGCCAAGTTCAGATTTCCCAATGGGGTGTGAAAGTCACATGCCAAAATGTGTTATAGGGGGGTAGGGTAAGGGAGCCCAGCTTAAGAGGCTTCATCTTGCTGCTGGGTGCACTGGGGTCCTTTATGATACAAGCTACTCAGATAATTAATGACTTTATTACCAGCCTGGGCAGCCAAGACACCACCTTAAATGATGCTTCATTTTTCTTTAATGAAACATAAAAATATATTATAAGATATAGCTTGAACAAAAAGATCCAATTCTGAAAACAGATGACAATGATTACACAACACAGGAGGCACTTAAATATTCATTATTCCCAGAATGACAGTTAAGCATCAGTCACAATGTAGAGGACTGAAGACATAAAATTTAAGGTGAAAGGGCAAGTCCATGCTGATCTTATACCATATCCCCAAATAGGTCTACCAGAACTCTATTTTTGCCTTCCTTCTTGGTGTGTACTGCTACAAAGACAAGTAAATTTGTAGTATATCAAGGGGAGCTATATTAAAAAAATATCACCACATACAGGCCTGTGAAGAAAGGAGAAAGCATCATGAGAGACAGAAAGAACCTCTGTCTTAGTTTGAAGAGGGCTGCGGTCAAGGTTGGGTATTAAGTGAGCTTCCTAAAGGGTCCAGAAAGAAGAAAGCAGAAGAAAGAAGAACATTTCATACAAGGAGTGGGGTTCTAGCCAATAGTGGTTGGGGCCAGATAGAACACTGAGGGAGAGTAGGGTGTGGCTAGAGGGCAGAATGCCAACAGAAATGGGGAGGATGGTGCTGTGGGAACTGGCAGGCATCTGTGGCCCCTTGAACTGTACTCTGAATTTGGGACTTTATTCTTGCCATTGCAACAAGTTACTTGGCCTGAAAGTCTCAGCTATTTCACAGCAAAATAGCAAGAGTGAGGATGGCTTATCAGGGTCAGTGTAGGGAGTTAAGTGAGATAATGGTCAGGTCCTAAATGCCCTCCAGGAGATGATTTATATTATTGACATTTAGATTTTGAAAAAAATTGTTTTGAAAAATGCATCATTTCAGACACAGTGTTAATATCAAATCATGTCTCCATGTGATAGCCACTAAGATTTCATAACCTTTCTACCAGTTGAAGACTCATGTGAAAGAGAATGACCAATATCCTAAGAATTGTAGTTTGCAAAGAGGGACTATGAGATAGCTCAGAGGCTAAAGGTCCTTAGTGACAGTCTGATAACCTGAGTGGGATCCCAAAACACTCACGGTGGAAGGAGAGAACTACCAACTGAATGCTGTTCCTTGACTGCCAGATACATGCCATGGTATGCCAGTTTCCTGCCCCCAAATAAATAAATATAAATAAGTCTTTTTAGATGGCTTTCTACTTGGTTTTGGAAAAGATCAATGGAAGTGGGGGTGTTACTTTGGTCTTTGAATGAGGGAACTTTTTCAAAGCCATGGGGACATCCTATCAAATTCTTACTTAAGTGGTCTTGATAAACAAGTAAGCTGCATTTAGGTGGATAATTATTTTAAAAGATATTTTGAAAAGGACATGCTTGGTGACTTGGGCCTGAAGCACCAGCAACTTGGGTGACAAAGTAGAGAATGAAAATTTTAAATCCTGCTGTGGGAACAGAGAGAATCCAAGGCCATTCTGGGCAACTTAGCAATCCTGTCTCAAGCTAAAACATAAAAGGAGGGCTGGTGTGTAGCTCAGTGGTAGAATGCTTACCTAGTATAAAGAGACTCTGGGTCAATCACCCATGCCACAGAGAGTATGCATGAGAGAACACGTGCAATAGTCTAGAACTAGCAGCCAGTATAGCTGCAGATCAGAGGCAGGAATTAGTCACAGTAGCATTCTTCCTACTCAGGGTGCAGTTGGTGTTCTGTTATACTCGGCTTTCCCTAAGTAAAAGAGGGAGGCTGTGTTTGCAGTCTACAGACTTGTAGACCTGAAAGTGGAATTGCTGAATCACTCTGGCAATAAAAAGTTTCAGTTTCCACAACCCTAATTAAGTATTGTCTCTTCTGCAAATCACACTAGCTCCTGCTTCCCAACCATGGCATTAACACGGGGTGTCCTCAACGCTGTCTATTGCATATGTTGATTGACCGATATGTCAACTAATTTGTTTCATCTTCTTGCCAATAGTGGTCAAAATGGAATGCCATGGGAATATTAAAGATGAACTCATCTTTTTAGGCATCCAAATGCCACAAAGTGTCCAAAGAATATGAAGACTGTTAGTTCACTAACTCTACTGTTGAGAATCAAGTAGAAAATTATTATACAGTGACAAAAGAAAGAAAACAATTGGAAAATGTCCAATAGTTTGAGAATGATTAACTGATTCCGATTACAATTTCATAAAATATTACATAGCCATTTAAGAGCATACGGACAAAGAATAAAAACAGTACAAAATTCGTATTAAATAGTTGCCATGTTTATGTACATACTGATTACAAAATGTGCAAACTGTGAAGTTTTGTAATAGTGAGGAGAATTTAAGAGACTTGTAAGGCAGCTGGTCTGTAGTACAGGTGGTTTTGTTTTTGCTTTGCCAGTGGTTTCAAAGCAGTAAACATACCGCTAGGATCAATGTCAGCCTCCTCTCCCATCTTAAATATGTCCCCAAAGACCAAGATAGCATTGTGCTTGCCTTCCTCTAACCCCCTTCCATCCCTAGGAAAATGTTTTGGCTCTTGGTAAACATTACTCATAGCTGGAGGTACTAGATATCCAGGTACTCACTGTTTGGAGCGCCAATGACCTTCCTTCTGTCGGAACTCATGGTTACCTGGGGAACACACACTCCCTCTTTTCTTCAGTGCAGGAAACAGTTTATCTTTAGCCAAGGCTGACATTATATCACACCCTAAGAAAACAACAATTTTTAGAAAAAAGAAAAGAGAAACATGAAAACATTTTAGGTTTTGTAGTTACACCACCTCCCCAGTGGAGGACCCAGCTGCTTGTGTGACCCTTTTGAATGGGGACTGATATTTTCTGAGAGCAGTAATATATAGAGTAAGTAGCTATTTTGTCGTGCCAATACAGCTAGGAATAGGACTTTTAAAAAACACGCAATAGTATACCTAATTCACACAAACAGACATTACTCTGAGGTCAAAATGCTTAACTGATGGATAGGGAGAAAGCCAACATGGAAAGATGGGCGTCTGTAGAGAGATGCTGTCCTGCATTGGGAGTCACTGTTTTTATTATTGCTCTGCATCTAATCTTGATATAAGTTTCCGAGTTAATTTTTGCTGTTACAGCTGTGGAGGGAACTGTGGTGTGAGGGTGTGTGCTTGGAAGACTAGACAGACTGGAGAGGTTTCACTGGGAGAACACAGTTCCACAGAGAGCTGAGTCCTGAATCCCATTTGTGGATGCTGCCAGTCTGCTGTAAAATCCGGCCCCATTCTTCAATGTAAAACCTCCGGTTTAAAAAAAAAGTCTTAACAGAGCTATGAGATCAACCATGAGCCTAACGCAGTCGCAAAAAGGAACCAGAGAAGAGATAGCACTGCGTTTTTGTAGCTGTGTCTCCTGAGGGTCAGAACTCTCCTTATTTCCCCCTCAAAAAGCCAAAACCACGGTGTCTGACCCCAGCCTTGTTGTTTTGACACTCTTTGGGGGCTTTTCTAGAAATCATAGGAAGAAATTCATTTAAAAAAAAAAAGGTCAGGTTTACTGTAATTTTGGAGAGAAAAAGCGGTCACCCTACTTCATGAATATGCTATCCATCTCATAAATATTCATAAACCATAAATTCCACTACGAATAGCTCGCTGAGCTGCTTCTACCTCCCTGATATTCTGTCCCAGTATCTCTGGAGTATTTGCTTTGCTCTAGCCGATAGATGTCTGTTTAAAGCGTGACTCCACTGATCTTTCGCTTCCAGAAGAACTAAGAACTGCACTCCTAACTTGAGGGTGCCTCCACGTTTGCTAGTTCCGGAGAATTAGCTGCTCCCAACTCTGATTGCAGTCCTGCCGCCCTTCCTAGAGAGACCCCAGATAGAATTGAGAAGTCCCAGAGGTGCAGCGTAGGGGAGACCTCTGGCGACCAGCGCTTACTAGATGAGTTGAGCATCACCCTCTGAAGGCCAAACTTGGGGCCACTTTTTCTGGTTTTGTTTAGCTGGGTGCAAAGATGGCCATTTCCCCCACTTAAGCTGCTCCCTCCCAAGTCTCCTTTCCTGGATCCTCTGTTCCCAAGCACCTGCACTGACCTGCTGTGCTGGACCTGGGATCGTCCTCATTGGAGCTGCTAAAGACGGTCAGTTGCCTTCGTCCTGGCTTGATCTTGCAGTTCCGGTGGACACCCAGGCCGTCTCCAGGGTGACCTCCTCAAACATTGCCCAGGCCGCCCCTCTCCGGCTCGGTGGGCCTTGGAGTAGCTCTAGACTTAGACATCTCATCGGTACTGTCTCCCGAAGCCTTCCCAGCCCCGCGGCCCTGGGGGGTTGCCAGAATTTGACTGTGAAGATGCGTGCCCAGAGCCCCTCATCGTCTTTCTCTCTCTGGGGATGTCAGGTGCACCAGTGGGAAATACGGAAGTTTTCCAGGACATCACCTCTGAGACATGAAAACATAGAAGCTGCCCACTCCCTCCCGCCCCCGCCCCCGGGCTGCTGACAGATGCTGTTCAGCGCTTTGCTGAACTCCTTTGCTCCAACAACTATGCAACGAAATGGCTGCTTTATCTTTACAGAAGTAGCGAACTGAAACCTGGGATGTTAAACGAAGGGCCTGGGGCGCACGGAGTACAGGGGCTTTAAAGTCTGCTGTTACAGGTGCAGACTGTGCTCCTTCACTTCCTGTAGGAACTCTTCCCAGACTGCTGAAACTTAAGAAGTTTGGAGTGCAGCTGGCTGTTTGGGGTCGAGGGCCCACCTTATTTCCTCCCTGCCATAGTGGACACCCACTGAATGAAGTAGGTGCCACCCACAGCGCACAGCCTACTACGGGCCCTGTAGGAAACCGGGGTGGTAAGTGAGCATCCGGATTCCCGCAGAGCGTTCAAAGAGCCCTCAAGCCCCTCCCAATCCTATTTACACAAAGCTAAGAGCAGGAATGAACTGCTCTTGACTATCAACTAGGTAGATCGATTCAGTGTTCAGTAGCCGCTACCTCATTTAATCTGCTTAAAGACCCGAGGTTGCAAAGGCCCCATTATTCCGTTTTATTTTATTTTTATGAGTATATTGAGAACTATGATGTAGCCTGCTCAGGTCTTTAGTCAAATCATGGAACTGAATTTGTCCCACTAGAAAGCCCTTGACTTTGCCAGACAGTGGGTCCATCATCCTCTCCCTTAATTATGTAGTTATGGCTTCCAAAAATGTAGCTGTACTTTTAAGATGCAGGAAATAACAGGTCCACAGGTCAGTTTATTTTCATATTTTTCATTTATTTTCCAGAAAAAAATCACATTTCAGTAACAACTCACATTAAACTGCATTTTGAAATGGGAAACCTATTTGCAGTAATGCATCATGATGAGTAATTGCATATTCAAGATTTTGTGAGATGGATGACTGGAAGAATTATGAAGAACATTTATAAAAATCACCAGTTACAAAAAGTGTTGTCCACACTGTTACTAACTCATAAGGCGAGGGATGTGAAGATGGTCTCATGATTATTTTCAATCTGTCCAGCTATGTTCCTGTCACCCTTACCCAGTAGAGAGCTCAGTTGTTCTCGGAGGGAGCAAGCCTCTGCTGCTTTGCTGGGCTGGGCAACAGGAAGCATAAAGCTGTACAGCAGATTAGGCAGTAAGGGTCAGAAAACATGGTTGAAATGAACAGGTAGGGGAACAGACGAGACATTGACTTGTCGACTAAATTTAAAATATACCTTGAGTATTTGAATGCACAGTTTCTTCTGTAAATATTTTATGCCAGAGAAGTTTTGTGTGATGATATACTCAGTACAGGATTATAAAGAGAGTCAGTGTACTTTTGCTACATGGATCACAGATAATTTGAAATAAAGGCCACTACCAAGTCAAATACACACTGATAAACATGTTCTTCACTGACTGGATGGATTGCATTGTAGTTAGAAACAGCAAAAATTCTCTGTGATGCCTTTCCTAGTTTCTTATTGTTAAAGAAGAGTAAAACACCAATGGCTTACACTGCCACTTAGTAGGGATGATGATTCAAACTGACCATTCCATTCAGACAGGTTTTGCCCTATACAAGTGAAAAACTGATGAGAAATCTTCTCACTTGAAACACAATAGTGTTCAAGCAACCTAAAATCAGGAAGCCCTGACTGGCATGCAGGGTAGCTCTGCTGGTAGGTGAGACTAGAGGGTCACCATCACAGCTCTTGTTGGTTTCCAAAAATAAGTATTCAACATCAATTTTCCAATTCCCTTTGACTGAGCTAAGAGGCAGGGTGGGGTGGGGTAGGGTGGGTGGGAAAAGGATGCAGGGGGATAGGAGGGGAAGAGAGATAGAGGGAGAGACACTGATTTCTTTCATGCAAATTCCTTAAAAAAAAGCAGTAATCAAACACCAACCCTTGGAATCCATGAGGTTATAAGAACTGTCATTCTAGGAACTCTTTTTCTTTTTCTTTTTTTTTTTGGTGTTACGAGACAGGGTTTCTCTGTATTGTTTTGGAGGCTATCGGTCCAGCCCGGCCTTGAACTCACAGAGATCTGCCTGCCTCTGCCTCCCAAGTGCTGGGATTAAAGGCGTGCGCCACCAACACCCGGCTCTAGGAACTCTTAAGAAAAATACCAGGTTTTGGATCTTCTGCGATAATCATTTGGTATATTATTTTAAATAGCTTAAGGTGATGAAGAATAACTGACATTCAACATTCATTTTGCCAGAAAAGATATCAACAAGGTAATGGAAGTTCAATGAGTCAGATGACATTAATCTATGTACAATATACTCAGTCTATGAAGCAGGAAACTTATGGAGAGCTGTGTCTATCAGCCAATGATTCACAGAATCCGAATGGACTAAAGCTCGAAGTACATTCAGAAAATGACAGAATGTCATTTGTCTGGTACAAACAGTCTTAAATAAAGGAACATTTTATATTTGATTTTAAGTAAGAAAATTATTTTCAAAAAAAAGCAAAGACAAACAAAACCCCCAATACTCAGGGTTAGTCCTCTGACTATGCCGAGAAAAGAGAGCACTGCTCTTGGCCTTAACGGAAATGTTTTCATAGAACTCCAAAATTTATGTTAAAATACCATCAGCATCACTGAAAAATGATTTTGTTTCTTGAAGTTGTTTAGTCAAATATAACTGAAGACCCATCACTAGCGTTAATTAGTCCAAGAATTTGGAACCTCTTCAACAAGCAGGGTCTTGATACTGTTGATCATAGGTTCAGATCTTTAAAAATTAACACATTTCCATGTTGGGATAAGAGTTCTTTAGGCAACAAAGTTAAAATTTACTTAAAGACACTAGTGAGCACAGATGACAATTCACTTCCAATGGCCAAAATTCCCTTAAAACTACAATCTTAGCTTACCCTTCCTTCTTAAATGTTTTGATTTACACATCCTTCAATGGAGCTGCAAACTGGAATTAAAAGGAAAGTTTCCTAATGCTTTTTCAAGGTATTCTTATAAATAAAAATACCCTTTTCCCAGTTTGGTGACATTCTAAGTCTCATGAAAACCATGACAGTTATTGCCCGTATCTGAAGAGTGACAGTTGTGCCATAGGACCACATATTTCGGAACACAATTAATGTTTGCTTGTGCTGGTAAACAAAACATGATTTGGAAAACACTAGTGAATGTAGTTCAAATATGCTGTACTTTTCTTTCTTTAAAACAGTATTAATGGTCACTTTAATTTGTATTGATTCTACACTAAAACCTCTTGTTTTTGCTTATGAGGTTAAAGATGTATTTAGCAGAGGCAATGTACTCCAGGAATAAAGGAAGGAAATCAGATGTCAAGAGAATAAATTATTATACCCATGACACATGTCAACAAGCTTTTTTGTGTTGCACTGCCTGCTTAAGAGAGAAAGAGCAGAAAATAAACATACAACCAATCAAAAAGGCTAGGCTTACTCATCATCTCAACTGATCCTAAAACCTGACAGTCCTTCAGTTGGATCCTAACAATGTAATTCTGCCTTGCTGAAGACATCACAGCCCCAGAGCAGTGATAGATGAGAAAGCCCAGTGCTTTTTTTTAATATTTGGAGATGTAAAAGATGCACTGCTGTCTCACTTCTCATCCTCTGTGCTTTAACATGAAACATGAGAGAAGCCATATTTAATTCATAAGTGAGAGAATGACTTTCTCCATTGCTTGCCAAATGAATAAACGAAGCCAACACAACATAAAACTAAAGGAGTAGGGAAAGTCCTAAACAAAGCTCAAGATAGAAATTAGTAATAGTGAGCATGGTAGAGAGGTTCATCAGAAGGGTCTCCTTAATTGGTGTCACTTGGTCTGATTTGTTTACTTATAGGAACAACTTGACTCATTGGTTGATGAGAACATCCCGGGGGCTTCACAAGAACGTCACATTTTCTTATGTTGAGTTTCTAAGCTATATTCTGAGCCCTCTTTGATATTACTGAAAATCTGGCTTTCAGTTTTTAGGAGCTGCCAAACAGAAAAAAAGTCACATGACAAAATGTATACATTTTCACTGACTATGATTTTGGGGAAAGAAAAAGCTGTCTCACACACACACACACACACACACACACCACCCCTATCTCTCTAGTGGATATTTGCATATTTTACTGTCAATAAATATTCATTTACATCCTGTGATTGCTTTGAGAAAAGGCAAAAAACTGATAAAATTCTTTTTGGAATGAGAGTCTTTGAAACGAAGTCCAGTTTCCAGGCCAGTGGTCTGACTGTCCCTTAAAGTTATTATTAGACTGAATTTGGGGGAAAACACTAGAAAAATGGCATTTACCTTTGAAATCAGTACTTAAGTCTGCTGTTATGTGAATAGTAAAAAAGGCCCTAGTGATCTATCAGGGCCATGATGCTCAGATTTTGGATGCTTATCAATAAACATATCTTCAAAATCTATCCCTAGAGATTTATAAAGACTTGTTGGTACCCATTGCAGTCTGTCTAGGTTCTGAGACTGTAACAGGGCCCCAATTTAAATAACTACTCTACTATTGTTTGGAAACAAGGGATCTCACATGCCATCCTTTGAGAGACCTCAGTTTTTTTTTTTAATAGCATCCTATCAGACACATCTGTAGTCCTTTTTTTTTTTTTTTTTTTTTTGGTTTTTACGAGACAGGGTTTCTCTGCATTGTTTCGGAGGGTATCGGTCTAGCCTGGCCTCGAACGCACAAAGATCCGCCTGCCTCTGCCTCCCGAGTGCTGGGATTAAAGGCGTGCGCCACCACCACCCGGCTCATCTGTAGTCCTTTTAATGCAAACTTTTCACAGTGCCTTTTATCTTGACATTCAACTTGATAATTTCCCCCAAATGAACCAAATGAAATAACAAGATACTCGTTCTGTTGTCAGGTTAATTGGGGTCCTTTGAGTCCTGGGGTGTCACTTTGGGGAAAATAATCAACCTAAGCCTCAATACCATCATTGGGAAAACAAGGACTGAAAAGCATTTTTTTTTTTAAAAACAGAGGCTGGATGAAGCTGTATCTGCAGTGACTGACAGCTGGGGAGCACTTGCTGTACAGCTATGTTTATTGTGTGGAAACTACCACCGTGAATACACATGTTCTTACAGCCTTGAAAGGTGTCTTATTTGGGTAAAGTAGAACTGTCAGTCTCCAGAGTCAAAAGGTACTTTGGAGTCCTTTATGTATCATGAGGAGCCCCTCCGTGCTGGGCAACACTTTGCTTTAAAGGATTCCCGGCACAATTTTATTAGAAAAATAAAAGTCCTATTAAGATAAGCTTGAAAACTATGAATGGATCCACTTGCACCCTAAAGGTGAGAAGAGGCCAGACTCATCTGTGTTCACACAGCAGGCATCATTGGCAGAACAAAGGTAGGTTGGCTTCCTCCAAAAGGATAATTAAAGGTGGAAATGTGCATAACTGTGGGTCTGATGCCGTGTAGGCTGGGAGTGAGAAGAAGTCTATAAAACAATAAAAAAGCACTGTTGTCTGCCCTTTTCCAGTCACTCAAAACCCTTTGCACATGGACAGTCTTCCTTTATGGATAAACTGTGTCCCAAATATTATACAGGGAATTGTCATTTTAGCAGGTATATCACATAGAGTAGTAAATTAGTAGTTGCAAGGCTCAATTATGATAAGATTCAGACTAATTTAAACAATAATTTATTTTTTTAATTTCATAAAAATATGGGATTTATTTGAAGAGGAAAACATTACTTTCTATGTCACCAAAATAAAACATTCACACTTTCTACAAGCTTTAAAAATCAGAGTGTTTAGGAAACAGCTCTCTAGATAACCAGAACTTGGTCTTACTTTGCTCACTGTCCTGCAAACCATCTGGCTATGAGTTAACCCATTTTGTTTAGACAAAAGGGAACCTGACTCAATAGACATTGATGACTGAAACCTTGCCTCGATTAGGACCACATCTCAGAACATGAATGAATCCCTATCCCACAGTGTGCAGATACAGCTCTGACAGGAGATGAAAATCTACAGAATTAAAACCAATCAGAGTACTGGGGTCTCCATCCCCAGTATGGGCATATGCTGTTTTCTGAACCAGAAGGAACCACCCACTTCTCCACTGAAGTTCTCATTATTCAAGTCTTAGTTTTGAGATCACTAACTGCCATTCCATCTCCCAAAAGTCAATTAAGGGACTACAGGATTTCTTTACAATTTTGAATTTGATTCCTGGAAACATTTGAGTAATGTTAGAGACTGTTCAAATCTCTATCTTTAATTACATTTTTACAATATCAATAAAATTATTCTTTGGAAAGAAACACCATGTATGTAAGGACTAATTCATTCTAAAGCTATATAAAATAAGATATAAAGAGAAAAACATGAGAAACAGTAATATTTACACATTTTAATATGCTTTTGTATTAATATTCAATATTTTTCCATGAATTGACTACTTAAAAACATTTTATAATCACATTCTAGATAAGTTTCATCTTCCTGATTCTTATTCTCCATTGGCTTAAGTTTTCATTTCCCCGTGTTCCATGAGATTTAAGTTTTACATTTTATTTCTCTATTTCAGTTTCAAAACCAAACTTATTATGAACAAATTAATTTGTTCAAAAAAACAACCTTCAAAGCCAGGCTGCTTTGGGGAACTAGGCGAGAGCCTATTTTAAACAGGAGGAATTATTCCCAGGTAAAATGGATCATCTTGGACATTCTTTTGGTAGCAAGCATTGATTGAAGAGAACATAGATTAATTTGCAAAGCTTGCTGGAGACAGCTGCCAATTGAAATCTCATTGTTGAAGTAAGACTTAAAAACATTTAGTTTGATTCCAGAATTGAAAGGAGCTGAATTCAGATCTTTGTCAAGTTTGAGTGAATACAAAATGAAATACAACAGTGAAAGCTACACACCCCAACACAATTGCAGTTGTGTTGAACTGTTGAAAATAACTTGTGACTTACTGGAAGACTTCATCTTTAGACCTCACAGGACAATGACCAGATTCCTGTCCTGTGGGGCAACCCTCCCCCCTGCCCTGCCCCAGAATGGTGGCATTTATCGAGCTGCAAGGCCACTGCCATGACTCTGCTTTCCATTCCCCAAGAACGGCAAAGATTCATAGTTTTATACGATGAATCTTAAAATCATTCAGAAAATATTCATAGGACAACAAGGTGAATAGAATTTCTTTTATAAAGCTTATTTCTTCCCTCTCCAGAGATGGAAATGAGAAGCTTAAAATTCTCCTTTTGAATCTAAATAGGGAAGTATCTTTTTTCCTCTAAGGTCCTTACTCTTAGTGTTTTGATTCTTGTGAGTAAAGAGGAAATGGGGTACTCCTGGCTGCTGGATGAGAGTGGCCCCTCTGCTCTGAGCAACTGTGCAAAAGTATTAACCAGTTCAGCTACAGAAAGTCTTGAAACTTTAAAAATCATGTTGCCTTTAATCTGATGGGTTAACAATCTCCGAGTTTGCTAAACTGCAGAGAAGGGGAGTGGGGTCAGCTAAAATGTCAACGTCCTCTGCACTCTTGGATATAATTTAATATACTTAAACTTTAAATATGAATTGCTTTTCCCTTTTTACACAAGTTATAAAAATAAGAGGCCCTGTTTACACAGTTTTCATTTTTATGAAATTTGCAATTTGAAAAAAAAGCTTTTTAAAAAGTGGTAATTAATGCTTCTCTTTGAATATGCTGTAACTTTAGAATCTTTTTTTTTTCTGAAATAGTTTCTGAATTTAACCCACTAAACTGAAGCTAGAAGTTTTCATTAGCACTAGAGGAGAGTTAAGTTTTTTTTTCCTTCTGGTTCCATTTAAGGTTCTTGATGTGTGACACCCCCTTTATGATAACTATCAACATTATATTTAAATTTTATATATTGACAAAATTCACTCTATCTCTGTAAGCATTGTGCCATTCAACAGTACTACTATTAAATTTACATACCACAATTTAAATTACATCCGTTTCAGGAATGGAAAATACTAAAACTCAAGTGTCTAAGTGCCTATACTGGAATGAAGGTACAGTTTACAAATACAATAATTACATTTTAAAACCATTAGCAATATTACACCTAGAAGTAAATACTGTAGAACTGATCATCATAGTACTGTGTGTGGGAAATCACTGCTGAAAGCCAGGACTTTCCAGTAGGTAGAACAACCCCAAGTATAGATAGAGGTTTGTTTTCATCAAACCAGATTGAAACCCATCTCTCATACAATAGTTCTCCAGGACATGGATCTTCCAAATCCTTGCATGAGATTTTATTAGTTATCTGCCAAGTATTTTCCTGAAAAACAAAATCACAGGTCAAAATGTTATCCATAATCATCATGGTACGATAATCTATTCTATCCCTCCTGGCCTACACCTCAGTATCAAACACTACATGTTTGGGGTGCTATACTCCTATAAAGTGGTGAGGTTTTCAGGTTTCTTAGTGCTCTACATCCATAGTCACCATTTCTGCTTTTGTAGACAATTTGCTGACAATTTTCTGGATCCTGCCCAGGTGGGTCAGGGATTTGTCCCTCAATATGAGAAGTTGTTCATATTTATTTCTGACTTAGTTTGTTTGAGAGAGAAAGGGATATAATTAATAATTGCATCAGAATAGCAAGTGTAAAAACCAGAACTCAGAAGAAGAAGAAGGAGGGAGCGGTAACATGTTTGCATCATATGTGGAAGGCTCCGGGTTTACTGCAGCAAGCCACTGACAAGGGTGATCACCTTATTATCAGGGAGGCCAGGCTCTTAGTTGTGCCACACTCAATTCCTGGGCAAACAGTGTATATCTGAAGACTAGATCTTTTATTTTCTCCCCCTTTCTCTCTTATTCTTTCTTCCATTGAGTGAGAGTGAGTACCTGTACCTTGGCAGATGTGGGAATTAGAGACAACTTGTAGGAATTGTTCTCTTCTTCCATCATCTGGTTCCAAGGAATCCAATTCAGGTTCTCAGGCTTGGTGGCAAGTACCTCCATTCATTGATCCAGCTCACCAGTTCAAAACTACACATATTCTTACTTTTTAAAATCATTGTATGTGTATACATGGTGTGTGTGTGTGTGTGTGTGTGTGTGTGTGTGTGTGTGTGTGTGTGTATGATGTAGCATGTGTGTGGAGGTCAGAGGACAACAGTGTTCCAAGTTCTTTGCTTTCACCTCTAAGTGGGTTTTCGGGACCTAATCAAGGTTGCCAGGCTTGTGTGGCAGGTACCTTTGATTTGTTGAGTCATCTGGCCACAGATAGGTTAAAGATCGCTTTTAAAGTTCAAGGGCAGATCTTCCTAGATCTCAGCTTAGCCTGACAATTCTAAAATTCAGAAAGTCCTGTTGTTGAACAAAAACCTTCCAAGGAATCTAATGCTACCATTACCATGCCTTAGGCATGTCATGCATTTTTATGCTCTTTCTCCTGCTTTAAAAAAATACATTTTCAGGAAGGAAAGAAAGTCAAACCCAAGTTTGTATTTTTAGGAGGCATCAGGACTTATCCCACTGGCTTTAATACACAGATCAACCATACTGGGATGGTGGCTCAGCCCAACATAAGAAACAGACCCAGCATATGCAGTCAGAGCCTTCCCACCTGGGTTTGCCAGATCTTTTTTGCTTCATTCAAATCTCGGTTTGCTTTCTAATGGGACATGGGGATAGGAATGAGGAAGCAGAAGGTGAGGAATCACACTTGGTTCCTGAATGAGAAGGGGTAGCAACATTATTTCTGCCAGTGAAACCAAAGCTACCCATTTACCTGCAGCAAACCTCTTCTTGATGAGTGAAAACCGGTACCCTGCTCCCACTAGCTCAATGTCACAGCCGGATAGTGTGCTTCCTTCGCTCGTGAACTGCACAACCAACGGGGAGGGTTTGCTTGGGCCATCAGATAACTGAAATCTTGCCAGTAAAGAACCTACGCCTTTAAAAGAAGAGCGTTATTGCAAGATGGCAGTCGTCAGTGTCATTTTGCACATAAATTTGAAATTGCATTTGAGATTAACTGTGCAAAGCTGGACAGCCTAGAGAGCAGCATATTCTTCAGTTACAAAATGATGGTGAGTAAAAACATCCTTGAATACTATGAGTAACTGGTTGAAATATGTCAGGAGAGTGGTACTTTAAAATTTGCACATGCCCTGAGGAGGGCTACATGCTTCTCATCTGGTGATCAACATTAGAGGAAAAAAAGACATCTATATGGGCTCTGATGCTGGATGGACACATGCCTCCTGAAGGACTCTTCCCTGCCACAAGGACAGTCTATGTATGGTGAGGTCTTGGTGGGACACCAAAGAGGAAGGTCCACTAAAAGTCACTTGCTTTTATGGACATTAATAACTAAACAAATGTTCTCCTTGTTTCTCAGGCTACATGGATTTGGGTTCATAGTTGGCTGTATAGGTTACCAAGTAGGTTATCTTAGATTTAAGTCTGTGATTACATTACCTCCGTTTTCTGACTTCTGGGAGATATCAGGAATTTTCCATAATATTCTTTGCTGCTCAGCATTCCTAAAAGTAAAACAAAGGGCCTTTCACATACTGAGGATTTGTCTAATAGATGCCACATTTCCAGATAGTGTTAATTAAAATAAAGTGGGTCTCAAAACGTTTAACTCTTCCTAACTACGTGCACAAATGTGCTCCCTTTTCCTTATTCTAACCAGTCACAGCAATGTGAGATAAACAGAGTGTGATACAGTGTTTTAAACACATCTATCCAGAAAATAGATGCAAAGTATTTGTTCATCACTTAGTTTAAGTAATTTCCATGGCAGTCACTGGCTACCTCACATTAATTTTAAAGAAGTATTCTTTATTTTGCAGTTACTAGTGGAAAAACTGATTCCTGTCCCCCACCCCTCTACCCCCAGCAGGACTGCTGAGGTCTCTTCCCACTGTAAACCTTGGTGCTAAAAGTCTGCAGTCCCTTAACCAGAAGGGGCCCTTTCATGGAGCAGAGAGGGAACAAGAAGTTGTTTTACCAAACTGCTGGAGGAAGCACAGCCTGGAGCTTGGTCACTCCTCCATCTATGGGGACCAGGAACTGCACATTGTTAAGGGCCACTGCGGTGGTCATGGCATCTGTGTTGTACTTATAATCTATGCGCAGGTCAGTGCTTGCAGGCTCACATCGCCAGTTCACTGCCAAGTTCAGAGGTGTGGACTGAATGCCCTGGGCTGACACCTTGAAAGGACAGGAGAGAGAAGGTATAAGTCTCAGCTGTTAATATAAAACCAAGCCAGAGGCTGTGATTGTCTCTTTGAGGAACAGATAGGAGGGAGAGGGGGAGTCGGGGGAGTGTGGGGGGAACAGGAGGGAGGGGGACTGAGATTGGAATGTAAAAAATAAATTTGCAAAAAGCAAATAACTGTAAATAAGTAACAAAAAACAACAAAAAGTTTCATTAGCATAATCATTGTATTATTTCTTAGCAAAAGTTTCTTTAGAAGTATTTAATGAGGCTATTACACTAGGAAAAAAAATCCAGGTTATTTATACCCAATCACTTAAAAGTATTAGAACACTTGTGCTCTTACCATGATTATGCTGATCTAACTTATTAATAATCTATGATATTTAAAAATAGATTTATCTATGTGCATATGCCTGTGCCTGTGTGCCTGTGCCTGTGCCTGTGTGCAGGAGCCAGCAGGAGCCAGAAGATGGCCTCTGAACTGGGTTTATGGGCCACCATGGAGTTGTGAGCTCATTGTGGGGCCTGGGAACTGAAGCCACGCCTTCTTCGAGAGCAGTAAGTGCTTTCAACAGCTTTTAACTAGCCTCAACTCTTATAATCATAATTAAGTATGCATGTGTGTTTTCAACTTCATTTTGGGGGCATGTTTCTATTATTTAAAAATAAAACACCTCACTTTGTATTTATGGGTGTATGATTAATAATCTCCTCACTAGTCCCCACATGATCCTTTAAGGCTTCAGTTTTTTTTATTACCACAGTACTTCCATAATATTAAAAGAAATGTTACTTTTATTTAACAGTAGTCTCTTTAGAATGTAAATTTGTAATGTGAAACAAGATAATCCTGACCACACAATAGGCTTACCTGATATTTGAGCATGTCCACATTATAATATGTAGCTTGGGGTTTTTGTTCAGAGACTTTCTTTAGGTGAGTCATCAAATTTGGCATGTTTACCCAGAATTCCTTGGTATTGGCATCATTTTGTGTATTATCACTATTAAGATCGAAAGAAAATCAGTGATTGAACAGCATCTCATTGACACCTCATCTGCACAAGAAGTGTCTCAGCAGATGGTCTCTGATTCCTCCATTGCCTATGATAATCAGAACACGAGAGCATCCCCAAGGTGGTTTTAGCACAGTGCAGTTTGGCGTGGTGTCCTGTAAGCCACCCAGTTCCCACAAGGAGGCTCTGCTGTGCTGCCGAACATTCCTGTGAGCTCCTGTCTATTAACCCAGCAGAATGACCACTGGGAGTTTTGAAGGGGTAACTATCTCCTCATCCATACTCAATAGGTCTCTTACTCTATCTCAGTTCTGCTTAATCAGCCAATGCAATTAAGGGGGAGAGATTTGAATTCCCTTTGAACTGACTTAACATAGTAATTTTCAGAAATTAACCAGTTAAAGTTAAAAGACTTGGGGGGTGCACACTTGTAACCCTGACTTTGAGTAGGTGGAGGAAAGAGGATCACAAGTTCAAGGCCAGCCTCTCCTACACAGTGAGAGTTTATATTGAAATGAAAACAAAACAAAACAAAAAACGTAAAGACCTGACCTAACTGAGAGGAATGTAGCTACACCATCATGCTCCTTTGTCAGTTCTCAGGGTTTTGTCCAAGAGCATCTAAATAAAAACCTGGATTCACAAAAAGAGAGCCTTGGAGTTTATGGTGATAGTCACAGTTACTTACGGTAGGACAGTAGAGTCTTGGCTCTCTAAAAACCTTAGCATTCCTGACAGCTGGGGCTCAGCAGCCTGTTTAATGACCACTTGCCTTATCTACACTGCAGCTGCTTCTTCATCCGTGATGAAGGACCAGCTGGATCCCATGGTGCTGGATGGTGCTATCTCATGGGGACAGGATGGCGAATGGACAAATAGATTGGAGATCTTTAATGGAAAGAATGGAGACTTTCCAGGAGAATGGCAAGGGAACATAATTTGCTTTGGGGATGGTTGATGGGGCTGAAGGTGGCAGGGGACGAACAGGGAGACAGAGGAGTTAAGAGGAAGTAGGAGCCATAGGAAGAATGGCAGGGCAGTGTTAGAAGATGGGGAAGTCAATGCACCAAGCCATGGTGTGGGGCAGGACTTCACTCATTATTGATGGGGGGGGGGAACTAATGAGGACAACAGACACATAGATTTTAGTAGATGCTCATAGCCAATTGCAACAAGTTGAGATTCTGTAACATGTGTCATGTGAGGCCACTGATCAGCTGTGAGCAAAGAGCAATCTCATAAAGGTCACTGGTTGTAAAAATGTATTGGAGCAGGGCCAGATTGGAGTCAGGGAAGGAAGCAATTGCCTGTACTACAGTCCTGGGACATGATGTTGGTACTAACTCAAGGAAAAATGCTGAAAAAGGAAGAGTGTGGGCACTTTACAGAGACTTTAGATAGAGTATCCACACTTTATGATGGGGAGGAAGTTGTCAAGAATGATTCCTTTTGTCACATCCACTACAAACCAGTACACACATGCACATGCCTAGTAAAGGCATTATTTCAGTTTTGAAATGAGGCAGTGTGCATATGCAGGAACAAATCCACATGATCCTCCCTGGTGTGATACCTGTCAACAATAACCATTATAGTAAAATCATGCTTCACCGGAAAGGTTTTCACATTTACGTGGGAGAATAGCTCACAGTTCCAATATTATTTCATTTAAAATGATGTTCATACAATAAGGTTTTCTATTATTGGGTTCATTGCCTACTGTTCTTATCAACTGTTTATTAGTAGCAAGTGAAACAGGCACTGTACATTGTCAGTGATACAGACTTTTCTTAAATGCCTCTTTAGCCCTGTTAGAAGCTGGCCACAAGAACACACAAATGCACACACAGCTACACATTCACACAGCGCCACACACAGAAAACTTGATAGCAAGCACACACCCCGGTGTCTGGGTGTCAAATCTACTACGTGCACATCTGCGTTGTGATGAATCAGCCACAGAGCAATTCTTGCAATGGAGTACTCCTTACCCACACACAGGGTGCCAAGACAACCATCTCTTTAAGATTGTATGTAGAATCATATTTACCAGCAAAGAAGTTGGGGGTTCGGCAGGACGTGCTCTAACCTGCTGGAATTTATCACCCGAAAAGTCAGAGCAGCTGGGGATGGGTTGTTGGCAAAGTGTCTGGTGATGCCAGCGGGGAAGGACAATACCATTTCTCCTGTAATCTTAACAATGCATCTGGAATACCAAACACATGAGAGGAAAGAGCAGAAACAGGTCAGTAAGCTGGGATGCTAAGCAGTGGTAGAATAGGAAGGGTTTGAATGATGAGAAACACCTGGAGTTAAAGGCAAGCAGCTGCAATTATGCTCCCAACCACCGAGTCATTTCTAGTTTACCTGAGAATTTGAGGGCTGATTATTTTAAAAAAGAACCTTTGTTGTAAAAAAAATATGTTTCTGTAACGGGTGGCAATTTCAAGAACTAGAAGTTTGAATTTATCTTTTGACTATCTGCTTTGGGGAGTAACATACCTCTCTACTAGAAAAAAGTGGCATGAAAATCTAGTGTGATCAGTGTTTTTTATGTATTCCAAGGTGAAGTTCTCATGTCCTACTTTATTAGTGATTTAATCCATTATTTTGCCTATTTTGTCACAATTAAATTAGCCACAGAAATTAAAGCACGGTAAGACGATAGTTCAGAAGGAAGAAGAATCATTTTAAAAGGCCTCATGGAGCTATGAAAATGATGTAGTCACTTATGATGTAAAATTCCATACATTTGAATGATATAAAATCAATACATAACCAAGATTTTTGTTTCCATTGTCCCCAAACATGTGTTCCTGCCCCTCTGTAATCCCTTTGGTCAGTTTTACGGCCCTTGATCCTAGGTTCCTGCTATGTGCTTTTATCATTCTTCATTGTTTTGCACTTTCTATAATATAATCTAATAGATATATGTTTGGGGGTTGGGTGAGACTTTGTTCACTAGAGGAATTATCTTCAGATTTGTCCACGTAGTTCTGTGCATCAGTAGTTCATTTATCTTTCTTTTGCTGAATGGACATAGCATATTTTAAAAATAATAAGTCAATTCACCAATTAAAGAATATTAGAGTTCTTTCCCATCTTCATCTGTTACAAAGGTGTGGTCAATGTAGGCAGAGATCTTTCCTGAGTGGGCGTGGCTCTAAGTTTCTTGCTAGGTCCGAGGGATCACTGGACCCTGTGTTGGGGATACCTTTAACTTTTAATGAAGTAGCCAACTACCTTTGTTTCTTTCTTTGCCCCACCACTCTTTCTGTGTGTTTTGTTCTTTCTTTGCCTCCTTCCCCCCTTTCCTTTCTTCTTTTCTCCCCAAGTGTTTTCTAAAATGGAGAATACAGCGGTGTGTGACAATTACTAACACTGTGCAGAATCTGTCTTCAACTATTTGCTGAGTCGTGAGATCTCATTTTAACTTGACTTTGCAGAATGTCTAAGAATCGTAAGATCTTGCCAGGCGGTGGTGGCGCACGCCTTTAATCCCAGCACTCGGGAGGCAGAGGCAGGCGGATCTCTGTGAGTTCGAGGCCGGGCTGGACCGATAGCCTCCAAAACAATACAGAGAAACCCTGTCTCGTAAAACCAAAAAAAAAAAAAAAAAAAGAATCGGAAGATCTTTCACAAGATTTAATTAATCAATTATTAATACTGTGTGTGTTTACCTTTGAGTGCTCATACCATGGGGAAGATTTAATTAATCAATTATTAATAGTGTGTGTGTGTGTGTGTGTGTGTGTGTGTGTGTGTTTACCTTTGAGTGCTCATACCATGGAGCAAGCGCACATGAAGTCAGAGGACAACTTGCAGAGTTGGTTGTCTCCTTTCACCATGGAGCTCACATGATCAGATTTGACAAAAGTGCCTTTACTGCTGTGAGCCTTCCCTCTAGCCCCCCAACTTTGTTCTTTTTCAAAGATTTTTTTTCAGGAATGGGTCCAAACAGAATATAGAATCACAGCATCAACTTCAACATAAACTCAATTTACAAACTTTCAATGCCAAACCACTCTCTTCTACCTATCTGGGAGACTTTGAATTAAAAATATTTTCTTTCTTTGCTTACAGCACAAGGTGATGTTTTGTCAGTAGAGGGCGCTGAAGAGACAGTGTAAGGAGTTTGCTTAATAGTCTCCACACCCACTCAACTAAAATTTGAAATTATTGTAATTTTAGATTGTTAAGTTCCGTGCCTGTTTCTTTAGGAAACTATTTTGACCTGAATGACTATTCCTATCAGCCATTTGATGTGGATGTCAATGTGTGATGTGAATTCAGATTATGAAAACTTATAATAATGTGAACTGGAATTAGAAATCGATTTTCCGAATAAAGCCTGGGGCCATGTAAATCCTCACAAATGAAGCATTTACAAAGAATGAAGAAATTTCCAGGTCGAGTGGCATGTGACTTAAACGTTGGGACTGCCCTCTTGTCACAGGCAGCAGTGAATTCTCTAGCTGGGCATTCTCTAGCTGGGCATCTGCAGCCAGTTCTAGTGACCCTGAATTAGGGCAGGGCACAAGAAGGGTGTCACTTCCATGGGACTGTACTGCTCTGTTGATACTGAGCACACAGCCTTTCCATGAGCATGCTCCGTGTGCAGGAGTTCCCGTTGCTTAATTAGCCATGAAAAATCTTTCCCTATCACAACGCTCAGTTCAAATGACGCTTTAAGAAGACTTCTTTACTGTTCTCATCATTCAGTATCTTTACTTCACCCTTTTCTAGGTTGGGCATAGGGACATTTTTTTTTCAGAAAATTGTGTGATCAAAATATTAAAGATGTCTCGTCTTTCACTGTGTCCCATTTGACCCTTTCCCATCAGACACTGGATTACTTTCACATACAAGTATTAGTTCCCATCCTAGATGTCTTTGCCTGTGTACCTCCTACCTAGTCCAATGGGCGATGTGGAGTAACCATTCTGTAGAACTTAGATGAGGGAGTCAGCTTGAGTCATTTAGCAACTACAACTTGAGCACCTTGAGCCTTGTTTTGGTGCTGAAGGCGCAACAACGGAGAAAAAAAGAGTCAAAATCCAGCTGTTGGAACATTCATTCCAGTGGACAGGGAGAGTAGACAATGGACAACAGGGAAAAAAAAGTATGTGTGAGGTGTTGGAGAGGGCAGTGGGGGAGGGGGAAGTGAGGTAGTGAGGGGTGGGGGAGGGGTGCTACTTTCTACAGGCTGGATGAGAAGTTCTGTTTGATAAGTTTGTTGAAGAAGCAAAGTGAGGGACAAGCCGCTCAGATACATGGCTGAAAGCTTCACTAAAGAGAGGGAGACTGAGTGGGAGGTGGGATTGGGCATAGAAGAGAAACAGCTATAGGCTTACATGGCTTAAGTGGAGAGAACTGAAGAGAGAGGGGTGTAGACAAGGGAGAGAGTCAGCCAGATCAGATCAGAGAGGGGGCAACCGGGTGTGACTGGAAGCCCTCCACCAACAGAGCACAGAGCACCTAGAACCCCACAGATCCCCGGGGAGTGTCTCTTCTGTGAACAGATGAGACTTTGGAGCATGGGAATCAGTGGACTTCAGAGGGGCCAAAGTGGAAGCTGGGAAGACCAACTACATTAGTGAGTGAATGAATGCAAGCCAGTGAGGGAGCAAGCAGAAGAGGATGGATTGTGTGAGTCTCCAGTGATTTCCCACCATAGTGTATGTGTTCCTGCCACATTCCCATTAATTTTTAAGTAAATATGCTTCTGCTTTTCTCAGTTCTTATCAGCCTCAGTGTTTAAGGCATTGATCAGTCAGTGATGAGTGTTACCCTCAGTGTTTAAGGCATTGATCAGTCAGTGGTGAGTGGTTCTTCTAACTCACATAGCAGGCAGCTGTACACATTCTTTGTTCCAACAAGTCTACAGGGCTAACATGTATGTAGTAAGTGTTTATTAGCTTAAGTTTCAATGTTTATGTGTTCCATATGAGCCTTTCTCCTCCATTCCCTCTCTTTCTCTCATGTACTGCCTCTTTGGATCAACCCCAGGCTACAGTTTTTGTTTCCCTATATTATTATTATGTACCTGGAATAAAACCTAGTTCTTGTTGAAAGAACCATGCCAGCAAGCAGGAATGGAAGACCCGGTGACTGGGTAGGATGCTTTGTGCTGGGGTTACTAATTCTATTGGTTCTCCAGGGTAGTATTAGTAGAGAAAGACTGTCTGAAACAATGTTTCTGAAGGTGAAAGAGGACTCATACTTCCTCATGTGAATTCCCACCTAAAGTGTGTTACTCTAATTATGTTTAGTTCTCACTGCTTAGTAGGATCTGTAATACATAAGGACACCTGTTACTTCCCATTCCTCTTGTCCTAGATTGTAAGGTTTCTAAGTCCTGTTCTTATGAGTGAACAAAAGAACTAAGAGCAGTCCATCCCTCACTTAGGTTTCCTTTCATTTACTGATGGAACACAGGCCTAGAATTAAACCAACAATACACTTGGCAATAGTGTACTGCGGGTGTCTGGTGTACAGGATGGATTAACAGTTCCTGCCAGTGGTTTGGAGTCAGGATTCCCTTTGTTACTGAGTGTTGAAAGCTGTATATCTCTCTGTGAAAAAAATGCACACATAAGATGTGGTTCGTGTCTTTAAAGTCACCACATGGGAGGTAGAGTCAGGCAGATCTCTATGAGTTCAAAGCCAGCCTGCTCTACATAGCCAGCTCCTGACAGCAAGAGTTACATAGTGACTGTCTTAAGAAAGAAAAGAAAAGGAAAGAAAAGAAAAGAACATGTAACGTAATTTCAGAGAATTTGTAGAATTTATGGATCTGAGCCACTTCTCCATAAAACTCTTTCTCAGAAGGTAGGATAGTTACATTTAGTGTCCACCCTCCTCCCCCGCAACTACATAGGACAGGGCTTCAAGGGTACAGGGGCCTCATCCCAGGCTTACTTGCTTGGGTCTGCTCCTTTGAAGTAGGCGTTGACAGTTTCTGTGAATGCTGCTGCAACTGGGAGCGTGTCCTGGGCCCCCATAGTTAGAGGACTGGGTCCCCTGGAAGAACCTGCAGGAGATGAAATGCTTCCATTTATTTGGGGCTTAGGTAAAAGGCACGAATACATGGAACTAGCGCTCACTAAAGGACTGGGGAACGGCGGGGGGGGGCATCTTTTTATAAAAAACCATGTGATTACACAGTAGCTGTGTGTTTAATGAAAGCACAAGTATTTAAAGAAAATATTTGGCTGGTTTATAGACAAACACACTTGACTTTGATTCATTGACTACGGAAGAAAATCCAAGCAAAGGACAAAGTCACGGGGGTTCATAAACGTTCTGCATCAGGCATGAGGCAGCATTTGCATGACAGTTTGTGCAGCAGGTGGTTAGCAGAGAGAAGTGTCACTTTGCTGTTTCCCACTGGAGCATTCCACCCACCAAGTGTTCAGCTTGAAAGCCCACATTCCTTCATTTGGAAGAGATAGTCATGTTGCTCTTAGATTCAATAAGGTCAAGATCCTTCCCTAAAACAAATGCTACCAAAATATTCATGTTGACTTGGCACAGACAAAAGCAAGCACTGCTCACACCATTGACTCTCTCAGTATCTTTGTGTTCATTGAACACTTGCTGTGTGCCAGGAGAGGAAACACATGCCTCCTTCCCTCGAGGTCCTTCACCCCGCCTTCCCTTAGCCTGTGAGATAGGCAGGGAGAGGCACATTTTACAGAAGAGGAAACTAACGTTTAAAGGGCCTTTTCCAAGATAACACAGTTATTTGAGCAGTAAAACAAGAATCCAAATCTAGATTTGCTTTCTTGAAAAGCTGATATTTTTATTATCACGCTGTGTGGATGGTCTACAAGAAACATTTAACTACAATGATTTGCTGAAACATGTAACTTCAAAAGCATAAAGTTTAGTTTGCTGCCTTTGTTCCTACGCATGGTACTGAACATGGTATCTATGTTACATGCTCGATGCTCCACCTTTCTACCAAAGATGTTTATTCCTTTTCTCTTCTGGCATATGCTACATGCATTGATGTAATCCCATCTTTTATATGTTTTCCTCCTCAACATAACCTTTCCTGCTCTTTCTAGTTCATGACACTCCCCCACCTTCAGTGCGCTCTATCTTCACCTAGCTCTTAATATCTTACAGTTGGTAGTAGGTCATCAATTTTATTTATATTTTATGTATGAATGTTCTACATATACACCTGTATGCCGGAAGAGGGCATCAGATCCTGTTACAGATGATTGTGAGTCACCATGTGATTGCTGGGAATTGAACTCAGGACCCCTGGAAGAGCAGATAGTGTTCTTAACCACTGAGCCATTTCTCTAGTCCCCCGTAGATCACCAATTTAACAACTATTTGTCAGTATCATGTATCATGCCCTAGTGTAGATATTGTTAAACATGGTCTTTGTTCTCTGGAGTTCAGTGTGCAGCTATCGATATTCTCATACTCAACAGCATCACCATCATCATTCACACTAGTATGGACCTCTGTCACTACTATTTACTTCCCATTTACTATGTGCGTTATGTGTTTATTTATATCAGCTGCATTAGTATTTTGCCTGCATGTATATCTGTATGAAGGTGTTAGATCCCTGGAAATGGAGTTACAGACATTTGTGAGTTGGCATTTGTGAGTTGCCATGTGGGTGCTGGAAATTGAACCTGGGTCTTCTGGAAGAGCAATCAGTGGTTTTTAACCACTGAGCCATCTCTCCAGCCCCATGTTGAATTTCTAAAACATTTTGTCGAAATATCAGTAAACCAATTAACATAGGATGAATATTCAAAGAATCTCTACAACTTGTTCAGTCTTGCTTAGCTGATATGCAGACATTTTAAGATTGATGTTGAAGTGTGTGTGAATTCAAAAGTTAGGTTCTGAGGACTATATTATTTTGTTTCCTGAGTGGGTAGTTATTTGGTCATTTGGGGCAAGAGAACAATTGTTGTCAATTGTAGTGTGCACATCTTAGACCATGCAGTTGCCAAGTTTTAAAGAAAGGAATTAGAGATAAGCTACTTGTGCAGCCCATACTTCCACAAACAGTACCAAGATTATAGTAGCTCATCCTTAAGAAGATGTGCCATCACCCACTGTCAGGCCCAAGAAAGATGATGTTTGCACACATTTACAAATAATGCAATAGGAATAAGCAGAAGAAATGATTTTATAATACTGTTTTCTCATTAGTTCAAACATTTATAGAGTAATTAGTAGATCCTGGAGGACAATGCTTCCCTAGCTGATGATAACAAGTGGATCAGAGAGGAGAGGTGGCTGGGCTGTTACCATTACAGCAAGATCATGGTTTCCATGCTACTGGAACTTGGGAGTTTGGTGAGGTAGTAAGAAAAATATTTACAATACTTCAACAAAACTGAATGGATGGTTAGGAATTAAGTGATGAAGAATTTTAACAAATATTTTGGGAAATTTTATACATGAAAATGGGCACTAAAATAATTCTTTTGAGACTCTATATGAAAACTTTAGATACGTTTCAGAGCAAAATGCACATATGCAATATTTATATAATCTGAAGTAGGAGTAAGATTTATTGAGATTTTTGGGGTTGATGGAACTGAGATTATAACAGTTCCCCCAAAAACGAGAGTTTCATGAGCTAGCTGATATGGGGGGTTTCCACATTTAGGTCATGTTAACTATATGTAGTGTATAATTTAATGAGGGAGACAATAATGTGTAGGAGGAAATTTGTCTTAAACGTGTGTGATGTATCTGTGCATTCAAGTGTGTGTGTGTGTGTGTGTGTGTGTGTGTGTGTGCTTGTCTTGTTTGTGGATGTTGACATCAGAGATTGATATAAAAATGTTTTCTTTAGTCGCTTTTCTGCCTCGTTTTCTGAGACAGGGTTTCTTCACTCAACCTGGAGTTCACTGCTTTGACTGAATTATCTGGCACCAAGCACCTGGGATCTACCTGCCTCCACCATCTGTATTGGAGTTACAGAGGCATACACAGCCTTGCCTGGCTTTTACCTGGGCACTGAGACCAAACTCAGGTTCATAAGCATAAGTAACCAAGCACTTTACCCACTGAGCTCTCTCCAGTCCCAGGACACGCCTTAAAAAGAAAATAAAATTGATGAGAAATGCAGATGTTTGCAGACAAAGAGATTATTATGGGCACTTTATTTTTCAAAACTGCAAGACATTTTAATAGACATGATTTTTTTTGGTGTGAATAAAGTGGTGTGATTTAGGCAACTAATGAAGATGAACTGACAATTACATGAGTCACACTATGCCTGAGCATGAATCAGCAGTTAATGTTTACTGAGGAAGAACTCTCTACTGAGGGGTCCAGAGCTCTGCATACAGACTAGGCTTTTATCATCAGAATTATTAGGGGTGGTGGCAGTGATGAAGGGGGTAGATTAGAACAGCGATTAGGACAGGCATTCAGCCATGATGCTGGGTAGTGACTGGGAGAATGAGGGTTGACACTGCATGAATGGGGGTTGGCATCCAGACTGGGATTGTTTCTTTCTCTGATACTTGTCTAAACTATTTTTGGCAGTAATGATCCAATCATAACCATTTCATAGGCCTAGTCTGAGGATTAAAAAAGCTATATCTTGTAGAGAGTAGTATGTGGTCCATAATAGCATCAAATTAGCTATTTTTATGATTATTGCAATTAAGACAATATGGAGGTAATCTGAATAAGACAGGCTTTTTGATGTGCTCAAGAATTTTTTAGAGTTTGGGATACTGAGTTAGAACTTCTGAGGAAAAACAGCAAAAATAAATATGAGATTACTATATATTAAGATTGAAAAATGACCAGACAATCTGGACATGGTGGCGTGTGCCTATAACACTAGCATTCAGGGGGCTGACACCAAAGGATGACAAGTTGTGGACAACCTGGCTACGTACTGAGCCTGTCTCAAAATTCAAAACAAAACAAACCAAAACAGTGAAATAAACTAGTCAAACAATCGTTGTTTTGGGGGAAAAAACTAACTCAGTAGATGAATATGTGTAAAAATAAAACCAACTGGGGGCTATAATCATTTCTGTGGTTGGGTTCTGAGATCTCAGGGAGTTGGGCTATATCATGGCATAGCGATAGAAATGGAGGCTTTACTGTCTTTTGTCTAGTGTGTGCCTTGTGGTATAGCTCATGAGAGAGCACGAACACTTCAGCAGTTAGGCCAAACTCTGGAAGACTCTAATTTAGCTCTCTCTTTCTGTCCCCCGACTCCTCCCACCGTCCACTACCCTTTTCTGACCTTGCTGTGTCCACATCTTGAAGGCTGCAATCATCCCTGTGAATTTGATCAATAAGGTCATGAAAACACAAGAGATACATAGGATAAATATTTACAGAGAACCCTTTTACCTTAAAAGATGTACAATTTACAATTCTAATTCCCTCAGAGACTTGTACTTTGCAACAAATGATGATTCGTATTTTACTTTATATTTTACATATTTTTTTGTCATCACAATCTGGCCCATATATCATTTCTAACAGCCATTTAGTACCATACAACCCTTTTCCAAACATTAGGGCATTTCTAGGTGGTAATCTAAATTTAACTGTATATTAATTGATTAATTGATCTTTTCCTTTCGCACTATTTCCTGAAGATTAAAAAATATTCTTATAGAGTTAAACAACCAAACTAAACAAAGATGATTTTTAATTGTGAAGAGGGCCGGGGGGTATTATCATTTGCAGGGGTAGGGGGGCTTAGACTTATATGGATGTGGATGTGGATGTAGTCACTAAATGTAGCCACTTTAAAGGCTACTATGAGGTTTACAGAGCTATTTATTGTATATTCAACTTGGTTAAAATCTACATAATATTTGCCTCAATATCAAAACCATAACTCTGGAAACATTTTAACAAAATACATCTTGTAATGGATAGCCAAAGAAAAGCCGGAGCCTCCCACGGAACACTTGTCCCCACTAGTTTTGCCTGTAAGTGGGTGTGTGACCACAGATGGAAGTTACCAGCCTCTCTCATAGTCTCTTCAGTTGAGTTACTAAAATTAAT